TTGAGTTTATTGGTACATTTAGGGATACAGTACAGTTACATTCATTGTTGGGATCATGTACCTTTACATGGCAAGTCTTGATTCTCATTTTTTTCCCCTTACCTCTGCCCTCCCTTTTTTACCCAGTGCTGAAGAGGTTAGGCTGTTAGCCACAAGAGCTGTTCTTTGAAAGAACTACATAGCAGCGGGGCTGCTGGAAGACCTAGAGCAACACTGTTTTGAGTGCCATTTTGTGTTTACTCTGAGACAGTAAGGAAAAGCACACTGTGGACATTATTTGAGCCATCTCTGGAAGAACCAGCTCCCATACCAGGACAAGGTGCTGTTGTTAAACTAGCCACTGTTGGTGTGTAGAAGGCTGACAGCTGAGAGGATGGCTCCAGGGACTTCTACTGGTCACCCAAGGAATCATCAGAGCTTTGGAAATGAGTGTGTCCAGTGGTGATGGCAGTCCTTGGACTGTGAGTTTTGGGGTCAGTTGTAGCTCTTGGCAAAGTCTTATGGGGTCTATATTCCACATTAGACTTAGTGCTTGAGGAATCTCTCTTCACCCTTAATGTGTGCCATTATATTCTCTTTTCATTCTTTCTCTGTACTCTTGTTGGTTTTCCTTTCTTTTATTTCCCTCCCTCCTTTTCCTTTCTTTTGTCCATCTTTGTCAAGTTGAACTCAACTCCATGTGTAAGAAATGAGGGCCGGGGATTTAGCTCAGTGGTGCTGCCTGCCTCACAAACTCAAGTTCCCAAGTTTGATCTCTGGTACCAAAAAAAAAGGAACACATGTTCACTTTTATAAAAGATATCTTTGTAAGGCTTGAATAGGCTAAAGTGACTCCATGCTTATAGGCCAGACTGTACTTCTTCATATGCTAATTGCTACCTTGGTTAACAGCCCGCCCAGGGGCAAATGGTTTGACAAATATTTCTCGTTTCTCGTTTCTCCATCGAGCTCCCGGAGCCTCGCTGGGTGTTAGGGCCCAGCATCGTGGAGGCCTTTTAGGCTGTTCACGCTCTGTGGAGAGGAAGTGAGACTTTAGGTCTTACATCTTTTCTTTTTTTTTTTTTTTAATTGCATTTATTGGTACATTCTAGGTAGACAGTACAGTTACATTCAATACTGGAATCTTGTACCTTTACATGACAGTCGAGCTCCCGGAGCCTCGCTGGGTGTTAGGGCCCAGCATCGTGGAGGCCTTTTAGGCTGTTCACGCTCTGTGGAGAGGAAGTGAGACTTTAGGTCTTACATCTTTTCTTTTTTTTTTTTTTTAATTGCATTTATTGGTACATTCTAGGTAGACAGTACAGTTACATTCAATACTGGAATCTTGTACCTTTACATGACAGGTCTTGGTTCTCATTTTTTCCCCTTGTCCCCACCCTCCCTTCACCAACTCCTCCCCTCCCTATATCTTTTCTTAATATAGACATTTAATGTTTAACGCAGTGTGCTTATCTCTTTTTTTAATTTTTTTTTTTGAGAATTTTCAATGGTTCTTTAAAGGTTGTCAGGATTTGTTTTTGAAGTGGAACGCAGGAGGTTCAAGTCTGCAAACTTGAACTTTTCTTGCTGAGTGCCTTTGCCTTGTATATACCAGAGAGTGGGCTGTGTACATTACATTGTTGTTTCTCATGTATCAGAACGAAACAGCAGTTTTAATTCTTGTCTGTAGAATGTTGTAAACAGATCAATAAACCACTTTTACTCTGGGTTTAATAACTATGACCTAGAAATAGCAGTGCTATGTCAAAAATTAGGTATTATCCATTCTAGTAGATTTTTACCTATCCTGTGGGCTGCTCTATTTTCTCTTCTACCTAGTGATGCAATTATATTTTGCCATAATATTGTGGGATATTAATGTGAATTATTTTGCCCTTAATACTAGTATCATAATAGGTTTCCTTTGCATTTGCCTTTTTTAGATTTTGCATTCTCTGCAAAATATCTGGTTGAAGGGAGGGCAGAGGTAAGGGGAAAAAATGAGAATCAAGACTTGCCATGTAAAGGTACATGATCCCAACAATGAATGTAACTGTACTGTATCCCTAAAATGTACTAATAAACTCAATAAAATTAAAAAAAATATCTGGTTGATAAAATAATCTGGTTGATGTTCTTTTTAAAAATTAGGTTTACCTTTTCCATCATTACTAGAGTAAAGTAGGTTTCATATTTTGCTAAAATAAAAATATTCTAGGGTTCTTTCCTGGAATTAAGTGATACTGTATGTAGATGAAATTATTCTGTCTGTCGATATGGTAAGAGACACAACACAATGATGCCTCTTGCTATAGAACTGTGGAAATGTAATTGTCCTATAGATAAATGTTGGGTGGTGTTGTGGCCATGCACTCAATATCTGGTCCCTATCCTCCTCCTCTCTGGCACTGTTCCCTCTTCTTTTGGCTACCCTAAGCTAAGCAACTTTGTTCTACCATGCACTTCTTCAATGAGGTTTCTGCCTTTGGAACAGCTGACCATAGACCAAATCCCCATAAAACTTAAGCCAAATTAAACTCACACCCCTGGAAAAAAAAAAAAACACCAAAAAGAAAAGGAAAGAAAAGAAAAAATGTCTCCATTAAGTTGTGGGTATCATGTATTGTGTTCCCAGAAAAGGAAAAATTAATAGTATTTGTCAACTATTATTTAAAGTAATGTGAGCCTTGCAAAGGATTTAGTGAGACAGAGATCTGGCTCTGGATCTGATAGAGTTAAGCTTAGTGGGTGGTTAAAGTAGTCTCTCCTCCAAATTTACTGGTTTCTGAAACAGCAGGCAAGAATTAATTAGGTGAAAAGAATCTGGGTTTGGGGAATCATCTATGCCAGCGGGGAAGTCTTCATATGTTGATTCTAGCAAGGGGTCATTTTAATGACAATTTCATCCTCTCATTCTGTTGTTTACCATAAGCACTGTTACATTTTAAAAAATACATCACTTTCTTTGGTTTAGCAATCACAGAACTGCATTTTCTTTTCATGTTAATTCTTAATGATGAAAATAGCATTTTATTACATTTACCATCACAAGAATATCTTAAAGTACATATCTGGTTTTCAAGAACTTTTGGGGGAAGAAAAGTAAGGCACATTAGAGAAAAAGCAGCTGATCTGCTCCCCCTCACAAGTGTCCTTTTCTGCCTAACAATTTGTCCCCCCAGACTTCCCCTTCTTACTTTGACTTTGCATCCGTAATTCTGGTTTTTTTTCTTGGCCTGCTTCCGTGGTACTGTTGTCTCTTGATTTTAGGTGCTGCTATGAATATTATTCATCCATATTTGAAAACCAAATTGCCCTGACTTCAAAATGTCTCTATACTTGTGAGTTTCATCTCCAGTTCAGCCACACACCATTGTTGCCACACATTAGATTCTGTCAGCTT